TCTCTTGGGTTATATAGTTATCTTATGGAATCGTAGCGTTATTATTATTATTTTTTAGTCCACAGTTTCATCAGTTACCTAATTGTGTTGTTTGTATTCCATCAGAAGACCTGCAAATGAATGAAAGCACAGGACTTTTTTTTTTTTGCTTACTATCTCTAAACTTTAGTAATAATAAATAAATGTTAACAATGATATTAACTATTTTAGTTTGGCATAATCCATACTCTATTTGGTTAGTAACAGTTACTGAATCTGGAGTTGTTATTGGGAATGATGAAATTTCAGAAATACTATTTCTAGATTTTTTTTTTTTTAAAGTATAGCACACACAGTACAGCCTTTTACAACAGACGAAAACTGTTGAACATCACAAGAAAGTCACGCGCTGTTTCTGAGAGCCTTTCCTCTCGCTGGAGGAAGCTTCATGGAGTCTGGGTTTGCATAGTCATGGCTATGCAATGTCTGCTGCGTGGGTGGTTATGTGTTTGCTCAGGCGTATGACAGTGATGACATGGAAAAGGAAACTTCTGTTGCTCAAAGTTACTGAGAGTTTTCACTAGTAGTAAAATCACAAAACATTCTTACATCTGCTGATGATTTTTGACTTAAACGGAAAAGGAGTTTTTTCTTTTTTTTAACATTATTTTCAGTGTCAGGAGTTTTTGTTTGTATTTTGTTTTGTGTTTGTGTGGATACACATTCTAATGTTATGTGTGTTAAATCCTCATGTTTCTGATACTACTTTTAATATCCCATGTTTTAAAAATGGAGTATGAATGAAACCTAAGAGTATTATCCTAGAGCACTTTTAAACAACCAAGTCTTAAGGGGTGGGAGTGATTTGCCCCCACACATACCAAGTCTCCCCCATTATTGACATTCCCCCACTTGAATAGTACATTTGTTACAGCTGATAAATCTACACATTTGACACATCATCACTACACAGAGTCCTAGTTTGTTATGTGTTCAATCTTGTGTTTATATTCTATGGATCTGGATTAATGCTTAATTACATTTTTCTACCAGTATAGTATTGCATAGAGTAGTTTCACTATCCTAAAAATCTTTTTTGCTTCATTTATTCATCTTACCTCTTACCCCTAGCAACTCACGATCTTTTACTGTTTTTATAGTTTTGCATTTTTTAGAATGCCATGTTGTTGGAATGATACAGTATGTTCCCTTTTCAGACTGGATTTTTTTTCCATTTAATAATATGCATTTAAATGTCTTCCATGTCTTTTCATGACTTGCTATTTCATTTCTTTTAAGTAATGAGTAATATTCTATTTTCTTTCATTCGATTATCCTTTCACCTACTAAAGAATATCTTGATGCTTCCAAGTTTTGAAAATTAGGAATGAAGCTGCTCTCAAGGGCTGGAGTTGTAGTTCAGTGCCTTGCTTGAGCCATTCCCTGGGTTCATTCCCCAGGACTGCCAAAGAAGGAGGGGGAAGGAATAAAGCTGCTATTAATATCTGTGTTTAGGTTTTCATGTGGACATAAACTATGAAAGTAATTTTGTATCTGTGTTCATATCTGTATTTTCTGTAATCCCTTTTCTTATCTAAATTGCATTCGTGAGAACATCCAGTTGAAAAGCAATAATGAAAGTGATTGTCCTTACCTTGTTCCTGATCTTAGTAGGAAAGCTCTGTTTTCTCACCATTAATTATTATTGGCTTATTTATTGGTACCAGGAACTCAGGGGCACTCAACCACTGAGCCGCATCCCCACCTTATTTTGTATTTTATTTAGAGACAGGGTCTCACTTAGTTGCTAAGCACCTCACTGTTGCTGATTATGGGTTTGAACTCGTGATCCTCCTGTCTCAGCCTCAGGAGCCACTGGGATTGCTTTTTTTTTTTTTTAAATCATGAATTAGTGTTGGATTTAATTTAGTCAAGTGATTTTTCTACCTATATTAATATGATTATGTGATTTTTTTCTTTTTTAGTGATGTGATGATTTTTTAAATTGATTTAATTGATATTTGGATGTTGAACTAGCCTTATATATGTGGGACTAATCCCACTTGGTCATGGAGTATAATCCTTTTTACATTCTTGGATTTCATTTTCTAAAATTTGTAGAGCATTTTATATCTTCTAAAAGAGATTGCACAGAACCAGAATAATTTCTTCCTTAACTATTAGGCAGAATTCACCAGTGAACATTTCTTGGCCTGAATTTTTTTTTTTTTTTTGGTTTATAAGGTTACTAATTATTGATTCAACTTGTTTAATTTATATAAGCCTATTAAGATTGCCTATTTTTTCTTGTATGAGTTCTACAAAATTGTCTTTCATCCAAGTTATCCAATTTGTGGACATGGAGTTATTCATAATGTTCTTTTATTTTTCTGTTAATGTCCATATAATCTGTAATAATGCCCCCTCTTTCATTCATATATTATACCTTGCATGCTTTCTTTTCGTTAACTAGTATGGCAAGGGGCTTATCAATTTTATTGTTCTTTTCATAGAACAATCTATTAACAAATCTATGGTTTGTTAATTTTTTCTATTAATTGTTTTCCCAATTTCATTGATTTTGCTCTAATTTTATTATGTATTTTCTTCTGCTTCTTTTTTTTGGGGGGGGCGGTTTACCGGGGGTTGAACTCAGGGGCATTCAACCACTGAGCCACATCCCCTGCCCTATTTTGTATTTTATTTAGAGACAGGGTCTCACTGAGTTGCTTAGAGCTTCACTTTTGCTGAAGCTGGCTTTGAACTTATGATCCGCCTGCCTCAGCCTCTGGAGCCGCTGAGATTACAGGCATGCACCACTTTGCCTTGCTGCTGCCTTCTGCTTCTTTGAATTTAATTTCACCTTTTATTTATAGTATCCTAAAGTTGGAGTTTGGCTGATTTTACATCTTTTATCTCTAATATAGGCATTCAATGCTACAAATTCTGTGTAAACACAACTTTTGTTATTTCCCCCAAATTTGGAAAAGTTTATTTTCATTTACTTCAGAATATTTTTAAATTTGTGAGATTTCTGTTTTCATCCATGCATTATTTAGTATGTGTGGTATAATCTCTAAAATTGTGGGATTTTCCAGTTACCTCTCTGTTAATGATTTCTATTTTAATTTCACTGTGCTGAGAGCAGACATTGTATGATTTCTATTCTTTTATATTTGCTACTATATGTCCTATGGCTTCATAATGTGGTTTATTTTTGGGGCATCTGTTAGATGAGCTTGATGTGAATGTGGGCATAGAGTTATTCATAATGTTCTTTAGAGGTCCATTATGTCCAGTTGGTAGACAATTTTGTTAAGTTAAGCTAAATTCTGCCCATTTTATGCCTGCTGAATCTATTTCTCATACAGAGGTGTTGAAGTCTCCAACAATAATAGTGGATCATATATTTCTCTTGAAGTTATATCAATTTTTGTGTCATATGTTTTGATGCTTTTTTCTTAGGCACATACATGTTAAGGATTGTCATGTCATTTTGTAGAATTGACCCATTTATCATTATGTAGTTCTCTTTGTCTTCGATGACATTCCTTGGTCTTATCTCTTTTCTGCCCCAAGTTAATATAGCGATTACTGTTTTCTTCTGATTAGGGCTAGCACATGATATACCTTTCTCTCTTCATTTTAAACTATATGTGTCTTTATATTTATGGGGCATTTCTTATGGACAACATACAGGTTCATCTTGCTTTTTAATCCATCCTGATAAAATGTCCTTTAATTGGTACATTCAGACTATTGATATTCAAAATGATTACTGATATATTTGAATTAATATCTATCATAGCTATTACTATTTTCTATTTGTTGTCCATATTCTTTGTTCCTTATATTTATTTTTATGCCTTTCATGGATTTTAATTATTTTGTATGATTTTTTTTCTTTTTTAGCATATCAGTTGTGCTTTTTTACTTGCAGGGGTTGTAATATATTTACAGTTGGTCCAAGTTCACTTTCAACCAATACAATAGTATTTCATGGGTAATATGAGGACTTAAAAAAATAGTCTTAATTCTTCCAACCTGTCCTCTGTGTAATTGCTTTTAAAATAAAATGCTTTTTTTTAAAAAAAACACAACAAAGTACATGTATAAAGACATGAATTGGTGTGAACATACTTTATATACAAAGATATGAAAAATTGTGCTCTATATGTGTAATGAGAATTGTAATGCATTCCGCTTTGTGTATTAAAAAAATCAATTAAAAAAACCACTATCATGAAATTGAAAAATGAGGAATGGAATAGAAGATAAACATTTGCAATACATACACACAAAAATAAAATAAAATGCAATTTAGCAATCTTTCAGAAACTGAATTTGAAGTTCATGAGGTCTAAATTGACTTTAAGCAATTCTATAGAACCCAAAGGAAGAAAAGCATGTGGGTCTCAAGAACTATTGAACTAGAAAGCTGAAGGCTATAAGGACTCTAATCTAGGTTCCTCCTTTTGATTCTGCATATTTTTCCTTTATTTTCTTCCAAAGTAGGGAACAATAGGGAAAGAAGAGGGATGGATTGACACTTGTCAATTCTGATTCTAAAATCCTTGAGGAAAGGGGCTCTGCTTTGTCCATTTGGGTGAGGTGCCTGTCATTGGACCAACTTTAAGTACGGAGTGGCACATGGGGAAGAGAGTTTAACCAGATCAGTTCATGTGAAATGCCTACACTGGATCAGTCCCCCAGGGGCTGAGAAGGGGGCTGGGAGTAGAAGAAGGGAGGCAGGGTTATCTTGTATAAAATGGTTGACAAAGTTAGGTATTTCATAAATGGAGACTCTTTAATAACTTATGAGTATCACTGTCAAGATAGTACCATGATTTTACCCCTACGTGGCACACTTCTAATTTCTATTTTGCAATGATTTCTGTGTAATTTTAGTGATGGTTAACTGATTGTCTTTCCTGTAAATGAGACTTTTTTGAGAGATAATAGATCCACATATTTGAGAATATAAAATTCATTTAATTTATGCCTCTCTAAATATTTTCTAGATTCAAGTAGTTCATGCGTGGATGGAAATCGGACATTATCTCCTACAGAAGGTAATGTGCTTCCTTATTGAGGGCCAGCATTGAGGGGTTGAACTTTGTTAGTTACAGTGGCTGATGGCCTGACAGTGGCCAGCCTCATGTCTAACTATAGAATATGGTGATCTCAGTGCTGTGGTGTGAGGTACCCCGATGATCCAACCACTGCTTGCTTCCCCAAACAAGGCTCAGTCTTACTTGCCTCTACAACTTTGTCAAGTTGGAGTGGTGGAAAGAACATGGGTTGAACTTCCTCTCAGCCCTAAGTTCAAGTCCTCTCTCTTTCTTCATCTAGTTATGTGATCTTTAGCTGACCATGAATACCCAGAAGAGACAAGTGACCCTATAATGGAAAGGAGAGATGTTGTTGAGTACAGAGTTTAGCACAACCAAGGTTCATTCACATAAAAAGTTTGTCCCACCATAGCTGCTTCTGCCCATGTTAAAGTGATGATGACACTGACCTCACCTTTGTTAGAGATGAGCTATGGCAGATGCATTGGTTGAGTAACCATCTCTCGGCAAACCACTCTCAGTCATGGACAGCTCATGTTGGTTTATGAGAAGTGTGAGGGTCTGTGTTAAAAATTGCTTGAAGGTCACAGAGCTTAATTTTTTCCTTTAAAAGAGGTACAAAAGAATCTACTTTTGTATTAAATCTGATAACTAGATTGAACATACAGAAACCAAATCTGTGATCAAAATTTACTTAAAAGCAATTGCAGGCAGGCCAGCTGCACTCTCTGGAAGTGTATGTTTAACTGAACTGCAAGAAAGCGAAAATTATCTAAAGGCTGTATTTGACAATATAACACCTTGGCAATCCAAAAACAATTTTTTTCTTTGTTTCTTAATTTATATGCCACACTGTTTTTTCATCAGAAATAAATATTTTTAGACATCTCTTATCACTAGACATCATCATTTTTAATTTTCATGTAATTACTAATTTGATGAAACAGCAGATTATTCTAAATTCTGTTAATTCCCCTGACCTTTTTATTGCCCGAAAACATAAAGTTTCTAGCTAGTTCAACCTGAATTCCATTTGAGTTACTTTTAATGAAACTACCATATACTTTTCACATCTGTGTCAACAGTTAAGGATTGGCATTTAGATTTGAAGTTACTGATAGTTTTTACTTATCAAAACTCAAGGGGAGACAACCATATGACCAATTATTCCATCATAAATTATATGATAAATCCAACATTGCTCATCACCAAAACATTAGATTTAGGACACTGCTTTTGTCATTTAATCTATAATTCTCTTTTTTGTCTGTTTCTATATACCAAAATTCTGATCTAATTCCAATATTCTCATAATGAATATTCTTTCTACATTAATGAATAAATTAGAATAAATTGGTCAACATTTGGATTTGGTTTGATACATTATATATTTTTGTGAAAGTTAACTTATTGTGTAAATCTGGAATAAGATCACCAGGAAAGCAAGGTTCTAGTACAACTTTATGTAATCTTCCGTGAGGCAGGGTTATCTTGTATAAAATGGTTGACAGTTAGGTGTTTCATAAATGGAGACTCTTTAGTAATTTATGAGTACCATTGTCAAGATAGTACCATGAAAAATCGAAAACACAAAGTTCTTTATCAAGGCTTTCTTTTCTCATTCTCCTTGTGTATGTCCAGATAACACTTGGCTGGCTGTGCAGATGGGTACAAAGGCTGTGCTCTGTTGCCCTCATATTCCACCAACATCAGTGTTGATACTAACATCATGGAAAATACACCTCAGAGACAAGCCTTCGTGCACCATTTCCCTCAACAGAGAAACAAATGAGACCGGGAAAAACAACTGTACTGATGGGAGAATCTCCTGGGCCTCCAGACCTGACCAGAATCCTGAACTTCAGATCCATCCAGTGTCCATCTCACATGAAGGGGATTACACATGTCAGATGGGAACAACTGATGGAAATTTTGAACTTACATATCACCTCCAAGTGTTAGGTAAAGAATGTCGTCTACTGTGATATTTTGGGTTACTGGATTTGTGACTGAAACAGATGTCTCTGTAATCCCATAACCGTATGTTGAGACTGAAGCATGATTTCCCTTCCATCTCTGCAGTGCCCCCTGAAGTGACCCTGTCTCCGGGGAAGAATAGAACTGTGGAGTGCAAAGCAATTGCAGGAAGGCCAGCTGCACAGATTTTTTGGGCCCCAGAGGGGGATTGTGTCACTGGGAAAGAATACCAGGACAATGGCACAGTGACGACCAGGAGTAGGTGCCATTATCCAGATGGCAATGTGTCCACCGTGACCTGCTTGGTCTCCCACCTGACTGGCAACAGGAATCAATCCATAGATCTGCTTCCTGGTTAGTAATTCTAGTCCCCCCCCATTCTTTTAGAGGCATTATGTCAGAAAGGAAAAAAGAATGTACAGAGAAATTTCATTTATAGATACTCCACTTTAGCCTCCACTTTAATCTCTGGTTTCCAAAATAAAAAGATAGGTCTAGAAGAATATCACATACATTGTTGTAAAAAGCAATATTTTAGAATATAGTTTATTCTACTTTTAAAGCTCACTTCTATGCTGATCATAAATCGGGTTGAGTAGTATATTTTTAAAAGAACACACATGTATTTAATAGAAGTATTTCATTCTCCCTTCCCAGACCACTGACGGTCAGGCTTTCCCTCTGAGGCAGGAGACTGGAGAGTTATTTTCTGAAGGCACTTTTCAGAGCCCAGCCCTCCCTCTAGTATTGCTCTGCAGTCTGGCACCTCATCTCCACCCTCCATGATGTCTGGATCCTTGACTCTAGATCACCTTCTGAGACCAGGTCTCAGAAGGTCTAGATCACCTTCTGAGACCAGATGCCCCTTTTACTGTTGGGGAAGGGTGTGGCAGGGCACTTGGCAGCTTAACTGTTCTTTTTCTTTTTTTTTTGAGAGGGGTACTGGGCACTGAACTCAGGGACACTTGGCCCACTGAGCCACATTCCCAGCCCTATTTTGTATTTTATTTAGAGACAGGGTCTCACTGAGTTGCTTAGCGCCTCGCTGTGCTGAGGCCGGTTTTGAACTCCTGATCCTCCTGTCTCAGCCTCCTGAGTGTCTGGGATTACAGGTATGCACCGCTGTGCCTGGCTGCAGTTTATCTGCTCTAACACAGACTTTCAGAGATACTCCCAACTTTTAGCCCTACACTTTAGTCCCCTGCCAGGTACTACTTTTTCTATTGCTTTTACACATTTATCTCTTTTTAAAGCTCTATTTTATTTGTAATTGACATAATAATTTTATATATTTATGGGATATAAAGTGATAAATTGATACATCTCTACATTGTGAAATGATCTTTCACAGTAATTAGTATATCTCTCAACTCAAATATTTATCATTTATTCATGGAAAGACCATTTTAAAGTCCTCTAGTGATTTTAGAATATTTGATGCTTTCTATTCTTTCTGGAGGTTTGTGGGCACTAAAATTTTCACTTATTTCACTGTTTAAATCATTTGCAATTCTTCCATTTATTTTCTTTTTACTCAAAAACAGGTTGTAATCTTTCATCTGTTCTTGTCTTCATTCCTGTTCTCTTTGTCTTTGGAAGTCTATATTTTAAACCTTTTCTTACTGATATTTTAGTAAGTTTTAAAAAGGGAGAAGAGCAAAGTCTGTGTTTAAATCACAATTTTTCAATATTCATTCCTGTTTTGTTTTAAAAGAATCTAGCAGTATTTATTGAGAAGAGTAATTGTGTCTTGGTGGTACATGAAATCCACCGTCCAGTGTTATGACAAGATGCTATATTTATAGAATGTAAAATCGAAGGGACCATCTAGTCCAAACTTCCATATAGTGCAAAGATCTAGTCTGCCTTCCTTGCACATCCAGTAAGAGATAGATCATTAGTTTGGAAAAGAGAATTTCAAAAACAATGTTATTGTTTTAACAATAAAAGCCAAGTATTCTTTTTCAAATAAAATACTGAGAAGTTCAACTTTTAAAAACGTGAATTATTGAAGGAAGTTGAAGGGACTGGACCCCAGCCTGCTCAGCCTCTACTTCCTCCTCCTTCTGCTGCCCTCAAGCCACATTCATGAAACACAGGAGCACAGTTTTGCAAATAGTGCTTCGTTTTTTGTTGTTGTTGTTGTTGTTTTAATTAGTTATACATGACAGCAGAATGCATTTCAACTAATTGTACACAAATGGAGCACAATTTCTTACACCTCTGGCTGTACATGATGCAGAGTCACACTGTTCGTGCAGTTATACATGTACATAGGCTAATAATATCCATCCCGTTCCACCACCCTCCCCACCCCCAAACCTTCTCCCCTCCCCTCACTTCCCTCTGTTCAATCCAAAGTTCCTCCATTCTTAACCTAGCACCTCCTCCCCCGCCCCCCAGTAAGGATCAGCATCCACATATCAGAGAAAATATTTGACCTTTGGTTTTTTGGGGATTGGCTTATTTCGCTTAGCACGGTATACTCCAACTACATCCATTTACCTGCAAATGCCATAATTTCATTATTCTTTAAGGCTGCATAATATTCCATTGTGTATATATACTACATTTTCTTTATCCATACATCTGTTGAAAGGTACCTAGTTTGGTTCCTTAGTTTAGCCCTTGTGAATTGAGCTGCTATAAACATTGATGTGGCTGCATCACTGTAGTATGCTGATTTTAAGTCCTTTGGGACTAGGATAGCTGAGTCAAATGGTGGTTCCATTTCAAGTTTTCTAAGGAATCTCCAGACTGAAAACAATGCTTCTTGATCTGGCAATTTATTTTTTGACTTGTGCAGTTTGACTGAGTTATACTGTGGCCAGAAGCTAACAGATAATTTAAGGTTGCTGCTTTACCTTCATCTTAGTTTCAATGCTTGAGAAGAAAGGTGACTTTAGAATTAGGGTTCTTTTCCCAATTACCTTCCTGTTTTATAATGAACCATTTTTTCCTGAATGCTGAAGGTGAGAAGCACTCTGCTCTTACTATAACAGTGATATCTAAATTTTGTATCTTTCTAGGAATTCATTATTTGTGAACCTTAAGGCAGCAAATCTTCACTAAGATTATGTCTTTCTGGAAGCTCTAAAGTCTAAGCTGATAAAACAATTTAATTATAATAATTATTTGAACTATCAATGGGTCAGAAGTGTTTAAAATAAAATTAAAAAAATGAATTTCATGTACTTTGAGACATCATTGAACGACATACATATTGTATACTTGAATTGATTTTATTTTTTAGAGCACTTTAGGTTCAGAGAAAATTTGGGTGGAAATACATAAAATTTTCATATAACCCCTGGTCCACCCAGGCACAATCCCCCCTACTATAGGCATCCCAAACCACGTATTATATTTATTACCATCCATGAACCTACATTGGCATACTACCCAAAGTCCACAGTTCATATTAGGGTTCACTCTTGATGGTGTACGTTTTATGAGTTTGGACAAATGTATATTTCCATGTATAGTCTGACTGCTATAAAAATCCTCTGTGCTTCCTCTTTGCCTTCTATTCCTGGCAATCACTGATCTTTTTATTGATTCTGTTATAGTTTAGATATGAGGTGTCCCCCAAAAGCTCATGTGTAAGACAATGCAAGAAAGCTTGGAGGTGAGGTATTTGGATTATGAGACCCTGACTTAATCAATACATTAATTCCTAAATAGGTATTAACTGGGTGGTAACTGTAGGCAAGTAGGGTATGGCTGGAGGAGGTGGGTCATTGGGGCATGCCTCTGGGTATATTTGGTCCATGATGAGGGGAATCTCTCGTTCTCCTTCCTGGTTGCAATATTCCCATCTGCTTCCCTCCTCTACACCCTTCCACCATGATGTACTGTCTCTTGTTCAGACCAGAGCAATGCAGTTGTCTGTCTATGGACTGAGACCTCTGAAACCTTGAGCACCCAAATAAACTTTTCCTCTTCTGATTGTTCTTGTAAGGTCTTTTGGTCACAGCAGTGAAAAAAAAAAAAAAAAAAAAAAAAAAAAAAAAACTAAATCAGTCTTCTAAGATTTGCCTTTTCTAGAATACCATATAGTTGGAATCATATAATAAGTAGACTTTCAGTTTGGCTTGTTTCACTTAATAGTATGTGTGTTAGTCAGCCTTTTTATCCTTGTGACCAAAATACCTGACAGGACCGACTTAGAGGTGCAAAAGTTTATTTTTGCTCATGGTTTCAGAGATGCAGTCCATGCTTGGGGGTTGCATTCTTCTGGGCCCACAGTCAAGTGAAGCATCATGATGGAAGGGCAGCAAGGAGGAAAGCTGCTGAGTTCATGGCAGCCAGGAAGCCGAGGGTGGGGGGAGGGCAGGGAAGGAGAAGAAAGAGAAGAGAAAAGAGAGGAAGCAAGGGAGAAATCCAGGAGGATAGGATAGAGTCCTCAAGGGCTCACCCCCAGGAATCCACCTTCCCCAGGCATTCCCCACCTGCCTCAGTTATCTCCTAGTTCATCTGTTCAAATTAGAATGCACCGATTAGGTTACAGCTCTCATAATCTGATCATTTCACCTTTGAATATTTTTATATTAACATAGGAGCTTTTGGGGGAATACCTCATATGCAAACCATAACAATATACACTTAAGTTTTCTTCATGTGTTTTCATGGCTTAGTAGCTAATATATTTTTTAATCACTGAATAATATTCCATTATCTGAATTTGCCACATTTGAATCATACATTTTTCTGTCTATGTTGCAGGTGCCAAAGGAACAGAAAAACTGTATTATCTATACATCTTCATCCCTGTTATTTTGGTCATTGGGGGATTCATTTGTTGTTTGAAAATCAGCGGTTACAGGTATTGACTGATGAATGTTTTTCTGGTCTTAGCTTTATTGGACCAGAAAAGAGTCAGACATACAGAATTGACAGACTGGGTAACTTAGAATATTAATAGCCTTTCTCTCATAGTCAAAAAGAGTCTCTTGGAGGTGTTAGATATGTATACTTTGAAGAGTACTCAGGCATGCAAGCATGGGGAATTAGGCTATTTAGGGCAGGATCTTGGGAGACACAGTGCGTATTAATTTTTTTTATTTATGAAAATAATCATAATAGTTCCTTTAATGTACCCAAAAATGTGCCACATATATTCTATTGCTTCAAGTTTCTGTTGCATAATTTTACTTCCTTTTCTAAAATTCAGAATTTTCTCGATTGAGTGTATTAAGCACAAGCAGTATTCTTCATTCATTTCTGGTAGTTCATTCCCAATTTATTTTGGTTTCTATCAAAATGAACTTTGGTATACTTTTTGGCTTTTGCATTTTTCAATCTAAACAATGACATTTTCTGCATTCATTTCAGCTTATTTCATCTTTATAGAAAATGTAAATTGAAAAAACCAGAAGCTACTACAGTTGTTGAGGAGGTAAGATAAGACAGAAAAGAATATTTACAAGCTTTTAAGGTGCATAGTCTGAAAATTTAGCAACATCATTTGTAATTTACATCCGTTGAGTTTCCATCAAAACTAAAAAAACTCTGATTTTACAATGCTGATATTTAGGTGTACTTATTTTTGTTAATTATCTATCAAGAACTATTTATGCATCACCCAAATCCACATTTTCATCTCATAAACTATATCCTAATCATATAATATTTGTCTCCTGTGGACTTTGAAGAAACTGAGTTGTTGTTTCCTTTCCCATGGAACCATCTGTAATTCTTGACTTCCCTTTTTCAAGACAATTATCATTTCCTGTAAAACCTAGCTTGCTCCTTAATTTCTTGTATGCAGTAGCTTACTAAGTCTTTAACTCTCTCCTTTGAGAAGTACTTATTATAACTCCAACTACCATGTATAATACTTTAATAAAAAAAGAAAAACACTTCTTATGTCACTCCAGTGTCTATTTCTTCTTCCACACAGCTGTCACCTCACACACAGATGTAAGTAATCAACAAATACTTTTTGATAGGGTATTAGAGCAAGACCTTGCTCCAATGTTCATGTAAGCTCAGAGACACAAATATAAGCACTATTGATATGCACTAAAGCTGTGGGCCTCTGTTAGAAAAAATGCAGGTAATTTCTATAATAATTTTTGGCCTTTCTGAACTGATTTTGACTTTGACTTCTTTCTTAGGATGAAATGCAGCCCTATGCCAGCTACACAGAGAAGAATAATCCACTTTATGATACTATAAACAAGGTGGAGATACCTCAGGTGTCACAAAGTGAAGTTGATGGCACGGGCCTCCATACTTTATAAATTATTGGACTCTAACACCAGGAAAAACAAATCAAGATACAGTCCAACTACTGTTTGGCTTTTCTTACAGTTCTTGAATAGAAGACCTATTTTAAAATTAGTCTTTCTAAGGTTCTTGGAGGACAGAGGTTTTCTAATGAATTTGCTTGTCTATCTTTCTGCAATTGGAATTTTAGACTCAGCTGCTATTTTTTGAAGAACTGACATTATTATCACAAAGAAAGTGCATGCTCATGATAACATTTGAATGGTGCAATACAATGAATAGTGAAATGTTTCCTCAAGAAATAATTTTCCAGAAGGAAGAATCATCAATAGTTTTTTATGTATTCTTCTAGAAATTTCTATGTACATATGACATGTGTATATGCCTGTGGTGGTTGTATGCATTTATATGCCATTTTACATATGTTTTTGTACTATATGTATATACATATATATATATATATATATATATATATATATATATATATATATATATTTACACATTTCTTGTCAAGATACAAATGGGAACATACTGTAATGCTGTTATATTCTTATAAAAAGCTAATAATGCAAACTTAGAGATCTTTTCTTATCAGCAGAAGCGAAGCTACCTCATTCTTTTGTAATGACTACATAAATTCCACTATATGATAATTTAATTAGTCCCTGCCCTAGCAGTGAACATTTAGATTGTTTTAAGTTTTGTTTGTGGTATAAACAATATAATGTCAAATGTTTTATCTGGATATATCTCTTTGCATTTGTTTAAGTGTGTCTGTGAAATAATTTTCTTGAGTGCAATTGGTGGATCAATTGGTGTTCGTTTTTATGTCAAATTGTATGAACTTACTTTCCTTTCAACAGTGTTTGTGCCATTCCTAATACTCTTATTGTGATAAGAGAAATTCTCAATTCCTCAGTTCCATTTTTTTCTTTTCATTAACCAGTGGTCTAATATGACATAAAATTATAATAATAATCATACCTTTTAATAATAAATTTGTATTTTTTCATGTTTGCAAAGGAGAAAACACACATGAAAACTTTGTATTCTTTTGAACATATTGTATCTCTAGATAAATGTTGATACCTAATGCCTAAATTTTGTAGACATTATAAATTGGCATTATGTATTTTTATGCTGTGCATTTTATTCTGATATATTTATCAAATAACAAATGTCTATAGATGATATAATCAGCTAAATATGCTATGGAGGACTTGGGGAATCAGTATGCTAAGAGAATGGTCATAGAATGCATGACCCTTGGGCTGGGGATATAGCTCTGGTTGGTAGAGTGTTTTCCTCGCATGCAAAAGGCTCTGGGTTCAATCCCCAACACTACAAAAATAACAACAAAAAAATTACACAATCCTCCTATTTTTCCGTGGAGCAAAATGTTTGGAATATGTATATTGATTATTTTTTAATATCATGAACAATATTTTAGCTATAAAAATTATGAAGAATAAGCCTGTTTGCTCCATAGCAGGACAAACATTAAAAGATTTTTCATCATGATATGATAGAAATTAAAACAAAATCAGTTGTTTCATCTGAGTCATTTAAGACAATTATTTGGTTGTTAATATGTTTTCCTCCCTTCAGACATTTAGTTATTTTAGGCTTTATCATTAAAGGGATTTGTAATCTATTTAAGGACACTGGACACATGATACTTTCATCAAACCATTTTGACTTCACCAAAGAAAACTCTAGTCCATTGTTTTTGCTTAGAAATATTGTCGAGCAGTGTTTTAGTCAGCTTTTTCACTGTTGTGACTAAAGGATCTGACCAAAACAACTATAGAGGAGGGAATGTTTATTAGAGGACTCACGGTTTCAGAGGTCTTCGTCCATAGAGTGCTGATTCCATTTCTCCGAGCTTGAGATGAGGCTGAACATCATGGCGGAGTGTGTGGCAGAAGGGAGCAGCACACATCATGGTGATCAGGAAGCAGAGAGAGACTCCCGCTTGCCAGATACAAATATATACCCCAAGGCCACGCCCCAATTCCCCCCTCCTCAGATGCACACTACCACTTCAGTTACCACTAAATTAATCCCTACCAGGGGATTAAACACTGACTAGGTTAAGGCTCTTACAACCCAATCATTTTTCCTCTGAACCTTCTTGCATTGTCTCACATGTGAGCTTTTGGAGAACATCTTATATCCAAACCATAATAAGCATTATGCACAATAGATAACATTACCCTGATCTTGACATTTATTAATTTTTATCCATCTGTATTTGGGATTAGGCTCATATTTAGGTAGAAGACTGTTTAAATATTGAAAAATAAAACAAAAGTTGACAATGTCAAAAACAGGAATAGAAAATGCACCATAGTAAAGATTCCAAGATAGTTTATTAAAGTTCAATTTTATTGTACAGGAACCAACTTATGAAAATTGCTCACTGTGGAGGTGAAGCATGGTTGAATGATAGAATTGTGGAGAATTTTTTAAAAATAGAGATTTATCAAATCCACTCTAAATCTGCTGAACAAGAAAGATAAGGATTAATTAAGGAAGCAGAGGCTGAGATGGAATTAGGAGTAATAAGAATTAATTGGGAAAGATGGCGGCGAGGGGAGTGCATTGCCCCCGTGTGCTGCTTCACTGTGTGGGAGTATGACAAGTCAGGACGGCTAAAGGATATCTTGTTAGGAATTTCCAGCAATAGTGGGGTGCTCCGGAACCTGGAGGAAGGATTTCCATCGCACGAGGATCAGCTACGGGCACTCAAACGCGAGAGGTTTGTCGCACTGCTTATTCAGCAAATCGGCCCGAGGCTAGAATCTGCATTGTGCGCTGGGATAGAGACGCAGGGTTACAGCGCTGCAGTTTCTGCCAGCCGCGCAAGCACCGTACTCAGGGCTGAATTCTGGGTTCGAGACCGGGGAAGGAAGCGGTCCATCTCGGTTCTCCACACCGGTCAGACCACAGAGGAGGCCAGCAGCCACCATGTTGGTAAACTGACGTCACCACCGCTGTTTTCGACTGACCGCAGCTCATTCAGCCATAGAACAGGTAATTTCAGGCTGCAATTCGCCTGCGGCTTGCAGACAGATTGCTAGGGCTCAGCGCCTGGGTGCTTCTTAGAACCTGATCTTATCGGAGTGAATACCCAGCGCGGAGCGGCTGCTGAGCCCGCGGAGGCTGCTTCTTGGACCCTGCGTCTACCAGAGCATACAACAAGCACTAAGCAGCCGAATTACGGCTCCCGGAACTGAGCCCGCGGGGACTGCTTCTTGGAGCTTACATTTATAGGAGCTTACACCGAGCACGGAGTGGCCGAGTTCCGGCTCCCGGAACTTCCCTGGCCCGGGGCTAGGAGCCCGCGGAAACTGCTTCTCGGTCCGGGTCCTGCTGAGGGCCGGTCAGGACTCACCCGGTGCTTTGGTTGCCCGGCAAGGGGAACGAAATGCTGCCATTCGCATAGGATACCAACATGGCAGAGATCTGATGTCTGCAGAAAGCGGCGGAGGAGGGAACTTCATCAATACCAGTGGTGACATAAGCAGTTGGTCTCCTGGTAGGGGGGGTGAGGCACAGTCACCCGAGTCTCCTCAATTTGTCGTCGAGCCAGAGGGAAGGAGCCGGGCCGCCGCCAGCGCCCGGAGCAGGCCCAGCGGCTTGCCAGCGTGGTGACCGCATGACCCCAATTGGAGAGGGGGCGGAGCGGAGCTGCCACCCGCAACCGCAAGGTGGGCAGACCCGCGACCCAGTGGTACATGGGCGTGGTAGGAGGGGCAGGGCAGAGCCGCGGTTCGCGCTGTGACGAATGAGCGTGCAAGGTAAACAGACCTGTGACAGCCTGGCGGGTCAGGCCCAGTGGCCTGCCAGTGTGGTACACACGTCACCCCAACTGGAGTAGGGGCAGAGCAGATCCTTCTCCCACGCCCGGATCAGGCCCTGCCGGTGTGGTGGTCACGTGACCCCAATCGGGGGCGGAGCAGAACCGCCACCCGTGCCCGCAGGGTGAGCAGACCAGTGATCAACCTGTAGATCAGGCCCAGGGGCCCGCAGGCGTGGTAGGAGGGGCAGGGCAGATCCGCCCGCCCGCGCCTCCAAGGTAGGCAGACCTACAACAGACCTGCGGATCAGGCCCAGGAGCCGGCCGGCGTGGTACAAACACCACCCTAATTGGAGTAGTGGCAGAGCAGAGTCGCCGCCCGTGCCAGGAACAGGCCCAGTGTCCTGCAGGCGGGGTAGTCACGACACCCCAATTGGAGTAGGGGCAGAGCAGAGCCTCCACCCGTGCCCGAAAGGTGGGCAGATCTGCGACCGACCAGCGGGACAGGCCCAGTGGCCTGCCGGTACGACAGACACGTCACCCCATTTGCAGTAGGGGCAGAGTAGAGCCGCCGCCCGCGCCTGCAGGGTAGGCAAACCTGCAACCGACCGGCGGATCAGGCCCAGTGGCCTGCCGGCGTGGTACACTCGTCACCCCAATTGGAGTAGGGGCAGAACAGAGCCGCCGCCAGCTCCCAGAACAGGCCCAGTGACCTGCCGGCGTGGTAGCCACGACACCCCAATTGGAATAAGAAGAGACCAGAGCCGCCGCCCGCACCTGCAGGAAAGATACGCAAGCAGTATGAAAAGACAAGGAAAGAAAGGACCACAAGCAATGCAGGTCAACGCAACTTTAGAAGAGGTAACAGCTGCAGCAGATGGAATGTCAGATAAAGAATTCAGGATATACATGCTTCAGATGATCTGGAGTATCAAGGAAGACATTAAACAGCAAAATCAGACAATGAAAGATCACTTCGACAACGAATTACGCAAACAAACCCAGGAAGCAAAGGATCAACTATACAGGGAGATAGAGGTTATAAAAAACAAACAAACAGAAATCCTAGAAATGCAGGAAGCAATAAACCAACTTAAAAACTCAATGGAGAATACTACCAGCAGAGTAGAACACTTAGAAGATAGAACATCAGACAATGAAGACAAAGTATTTCAACTGGAAAAGAACATAGACAGCTCAGCAAGACTGTTAAGAAACCATGAGCAGAACATCCAAGAAATATGGGATAACATTAAGAGACCAAATTTAAGAGTCATTGGGATACAGGAAGGTACAGAGCTCCAAACCAAAGGAATGAGAAGTCTATTCAATGAAATAATACAAGAAAACTTCCCAGACTTGAAGAATGAGACAGAATCCCAAATCCTAGAAGCCTACAGGACGCCGAATGTGCAAAATCATAAGAGATCCACACCTAGACACATTATAATGAAGATGCCCAACATACAGAATAAGGAGAGAATTTTAAAAGCTACAAGAGAAAGGAAGCAGATTACATTTAGGGGTAAGCCAATCAGGATAACAGCTGATCTGTCAACACAGACTCTGAAAGCTAGAAGATCCTGGAATAACATATTTCAAACACTGAAAGAAAATGGGTTCCAACCAAGAATTGTGTATCCAGCGAAATTAAGCTTCAG